AAGCCGCACCATCTTCTAGCCATCCGGGCTGCCGCTCGCGCAGCAGACTCGACCGTATGAGTAACCGCCTCGCTTGCTTGATGACGACAGAAGGCGTGTACTTCCACCGGTTTGCGTTCCACGCTTGGAGGATGGCCCCTGCACCGTCGAAATGAAACCAGAGTTTCATGGTCGAGAGGGGCTCGGCGGAGTCGCTGTTTTGCTGGATGAAGGACTCGTAGCGCGCCATGAAATAGGCGGTTAGGAGGTAGGCATCGATTTCATCTGCGTCTAGCGTTCCGCTGTTGATGCGCAGGATCCCACTTTGCATTTTTTTCAAGAGTTTGACGTAGGCTTTTGAGCTTTCGGTAACGGCGTCCTTCTCTTTCATCTTGACTCCAAATACCGCCAGCGCCACGGCATCAAATGCTATATTTACAACCTCGCTCGTCTTCCCGGTCGCCTTCCACTCGTGGAAGCATTCCGTCCACGTCGTCGACATGTCCGGAATGTCCTGGAAAACGGTGAAGTGGTTCTGCACATAGTACGCGTGGGCACGTGTTTGGAGGTTGAGGGAAGGCTGCAGGGGGACGAGGGACGAGCGGGGACCCCGCGGGCGGCGTTTGGCGCCCGTGGCGTACTCGTTCTCGGAGTGGATGATGAAGTTTTCTGATTTAGCGGCGGCGGCCTCGACGCAGGGACGCTGCGACTTGATGCAGCGCTGGCAGATGGGCTTTGCGCCGTCGCACTGGGTGGAGTCAGATTGGGTGGAAGCTTAGCCACGGCTCGATCCATGCGGTTAGTTCCCGTGCAGTGATGCAGTGAAATCCCCGGGATAGACTTCACCGTGGAGTGCATGGAGACTAATGCCTGAATATTGCACTGGGGTTCCTGGAACTTACTTTGATGCGGCGTGTTCTGCACGTCTGGCACGAGCGAGTCGGTTGCGTATTAGTTTCCATTTCAATAGGTAGACACAGCTCAATCTGGAGGTTTGACGAGGTTTGACGTTCGCGGAGTATCTCCAAAAACGGGAATTCTTAAGAATATGGTTCGCCTTGTTTGACTACAGAAGGGGTACATCTTAGAGATATAGTAGTCGGTTCGGTGGAATTCCACTGGCTGTAGACCGTTCAGCTTTAGTTTACATTCTAGCCTAGTCTGAATCAGGCGAAAACCCACGAGGTAGAGTAACAGGGGGGAGCATCCTTCAGTGTAGGATATACCTAAAAGCTGGAGGTGCCAAACCTTTTTGTCGTTGCTGCTGGTTTGTGTGAACGGTGTGCGCGGTGGAATATACTATCCGCCGGATGATGGACCAATCTGTTGTAGGAGATGGATGGTGTGATTAGAAAATACTCGCGGGGTCCGAGATGGAAGGCAATAATGGGGGCTGCAAGTGACGAGAGAACGAATGAGGGAAGTCGTGGGCTTGCCAGTTGTATACTTTCTCGCCAACACATCACAAGGATGTTATTAACTATGCCGCTTCGAAGCAGTGTGAAGTACGTGTGTCTAAGCCGCGCGTACAGGCAATTGCATTTAGCCCCAAAGTCACGAGAGCGGCGCAAATAGCGGTGATGAAAGAGCTGAAAAAGATGCAATGCGGGGATGACAACAGTTGGGTAGATCAGTAGAATTTATGTCGATGGCTTAGGGGGAAAGACAATAGAAATGACGGAGAGCGATAGCCGTGAAGGGAATGCAGAATGTACCAACCCGCTTCGAAACAGACCTGGCTATAACCTCTGCCAGATGTACTCGTCAGTCGAGATCAGGTCGACTTGTTGGGCGTGGCGTTGGTCAAGGTGAAGGTGTGGCCATATATAACCAGGTCACCTAGTCTGGATGAGCACAACCGTCAGCGATAAGCAATTCCGGCGACGGCTGGGCCCGTCGAGCTGGTACATGCAAGTGATCCGTCAGGTTTCAGCCGCCGACGTAACGCTCCCGAACGTGCGGGGAACCGTAGTTCGAGGGGCGGTCCCGAGGTTTACCGTGCTCGTGGCTGTCACGATGTTTCTCGGGCGATGTCCTCGGCGTAGGCGACCCGCCTCGTTTCAATTGCCCTTCTCGTGCCGCTAGGAGGCACACCCCCTTCCAGACGCGCTGAGACAGCACGCATGGCATCGTGCCTTTGGGGATGCGTGCAGCGTGCAGAGGCCGGCCCTTCGCATCCTCCCCTCCAGCGCCCCCCTCGATTCCATGGCTAGCATAGGCCCAAAGTCGGCAGCCGCCCAACCCCGCCTGCCAAATCGGGCCCAACAGTCTCCAACAGCTCCCATGCGACGCCCCTCCGAACGTCACCCCACCCCAGCCCGCTGCGACAAGAGCCCAAGTCCGCGAGACGCCGTGCCATCAGGCTTTTCGCTGTCGACCCACCACGTCTTCAGTGCCTTGGTAGTCGTGCTAGCGCTTGTGCTGCAACTGCTAGCCCCTCACCTCCCACACGAGCTCTTGCGCCTCTTCACCACAAAGGACCATTGGCCCCCCGCCGTCACCCTCCGCGAGCCTGCCCTCTACCGCGAACCTCCCATCTGCCCGAAGCCTGTGCAGAGAATCGAAACCGCCGGCACTTTCAACAGAGACACTGAGCGCAGCATGGCGTTGGCAGAGCAGGCAAAGCGCGTCGCCGACGAGTTCAATTTCGGGCCTGATGCCGTCAACAAGGCTGTCAAAGAGTTCATACGGGAGATGGGTACCATGCCCCCCATGCAACCCTCGAAGTAGACACTGACGACCACAGACGAGGGCTTGCAGCAGGAAGGCACAGAGCTGAGCCAGATCCCCACCTACGTCACTGCGGTGCCCAATGGAACCGAGAAGGTGCGCCCACCACCACACACAACACGCTCGCAATGGCATGGCTAATGCACGACAGGGCCTCTACATGGCCGTCGACCTGGGCGGCACCAACTTCCGTGTCTGCTCCATCCAATTGCACGGCAACACCACCTTCTCGCTCACCCAGAGCAAGGTCGCCATACCCAAGGAGCTCATGGTTGCGAAGACGTCCAAGGAGCTCTTCTCATTCCTAGCGAAGCAGATTGAGGAGTTTCTGAAGACACATCACGAGGAACACTATGTCGGGCATGTTAAGCGCAGGGAGACTGGTGGGGCCGTCAAGGAAGAAGAAATCTTCAACCTAGGTTTTACCTTCTCCTTCCCAGTGAACCAGATTGGTATCAACAAGGGGTTGCTCATGCGATGGACAAAAGGCTTTGACATTGCTGACGCTGTGGGCAAGGACGTGTGCGCTCTTCTCCAAACCGAAATCGATGCACTGGGCCTACCTGTTCGTGTGGCAGCGTTGGTCAACGACACAGTGGGTACTCTCATGGCTCGCTCGTATACGTCCCCCGGCAAGACAGGTACGCTGCTGGGTGGCATCTTCGGCACTGGGACAAACGGTGCCTACGTGGAGAAGCTCGACAAGGTCACCAAGCTCACAAAGAGCAAGAGCTCGGGCGACTACGACAAGTCGACGGGCGAGATGATTGTCAACACCGAGTGGGGCTCCTTCGACAACTCGCTCCGTACGCTGCCCAACACCCCCTACGATATCGAGCTCGACGCCAAGTCCGTCAACCCTGGCATCCAAATGTTCGAGAAACGCGTCTCAGGCATGTTCCTGGGTGAGATTCTCCGCCTCGCCATCGTCGGTCTCCTCAAAGATCCCACCTTCCCGCTCTTCCGCGACGAAAACTCGGCGCAGAACGACATCCACAGCACCACGCAGATCCACGACTCGTCACCAATATGGAAACAGTGGGGCATTGATACCAGCTTCTTGAGCATCTGTGCGGGAGACACTAGCCCGGGCTATAGAATGGTCAGACAATCACTAGACAAAGACTACGGCATCACGGCCGTGAGCGCCGAGGACGCCGAGGCCGTAAGGGCAATCGCCGCTGCTATCGGTCGCCGCGCCGCGCGCCTCGCAGCCGTTGCCATTGCCGGTATCGTAATCAACACAGGTAGGTTAGACGCGCCCAAGGACACGGCAACGACAGAGTCGAAGGCGGGCATCAACCCTCCACGGGGTGACGCCGACCTTGCCGAAGAAGACGTCATCGACATCGGTGTCGACGGCTCCCTCGTAGAATTCTATCCCAACTTCGAAGACCACATCCGCGAGGCGCTGCGGGAGATTGAAGGTATCGGTGAGAAGGGCGAAAAGCGGATTAGAATCGGTATCGCGAAAGATGGATCTGGGGTTGGCGCTGCGCTGATTGCGCTCGTGGCGGGGAGAGTAAGCGTCGACACGGAATAGAGAGCTATAACGTTGAGCGCGGTGTTTGGGTAACATGTATGGCAGTGTAGAACTTGACAAAATGTGTGACTGGATATGTAGTCCTACCAATTTAAGCATCTAACGTTAATCGGCGCATCATGTGTATTCAAGATATGCTGTTAATTAACCATATTGTGTGTGATAGCAGATGTCCCCTATTGATCGATCACCTACATAAGTTGGTACCACTCTCATGCTATAGATCAAATGACACACTGTTAGTCGTGGCAAGTAGCGTTCGTCGTGAATAAAGGAGAGTTGCTGTTTGTGCTCTCGGGTGCTTCGCAAGATTTGGGAACATCGCAGACGGGAAGGTTTTCAGGATCAGGGAGAAGTCAAGGAAGCAACGTGTCGAGGTGAAATAGCGTTTTCTCCTCGAGCTTAAAGCTCTTTCACCTCTATCGTAAGGCTGCTTCAGCACACGCTCAGAGGGTCCTTTGAGCATACATTTGTTGCATTAACGATGTGAAGGAATTCCACCCAGAGCAACTCATGTAATCCATCCATAATCTATACGCTACTACTGTCGCACCGCCTAACAGGTAATTCGAAGCCCATCCTATTACATTGTGCCCTAAGCCGATTTCGCCTCGCTAAGAAAAAAAAATTCACCACGAACCTGTCTCCCCCCTCCTCTCACACCTGACGACACGACAAACACATCAGCAAAAGCAAAAAAGAAACCAAGAACGCCCGATGTGGGACTCGCTAGAAAGTATGTTAGTTGTGTTCAGAGTAGTATTCGAACAGTTGACTTACAACCCACAGCCTTGGGATTAAAAGTCCCACGCGCTAACCAATTGTGCCAACCGGGCGTGAAGAACCAAGCTGGTTTCACGATGCTCGATGCGCTTTTCTCAAGATGTAAAGTATATATACGCAAAACAATGTGTTTCTTAGAAGGATGGCGATCGGAACGGTGACTCAGATGCGAAGTTTAGTCGGGCGGGGGAAGGGTCGTGAGCGGACGAAGTGGGGTAGCGGGGCTGTGGGCGTCATCGAAAGAAAGGCCGAGCACCGGCTCCCTTCTGTGCTTGCGCCGAGGGCATATGGTTCCACAATTTGATCCTCGCAGATATGTTCACTCATAGATAATTAGGTGCCGCTCATGTATCTCGGCGACTGATTACAGCGCGCGATCTCGCCGTGACCATCCGGTGCGTCTTAGATGCGCCCGAGCCGAGCATGAGCGAGGAGAAAATGGCTACACTGACTGCGATCACCAAGTTGAAGAGGCCCCACACTGCGTCAAAGTGTACGAACTTGAAGCGGGCTGGTGTGACATATGCCATCTAGACATGATCATGGTTTCCATTTCGACCAGCCACTTGATTTGTTCGCTCATCATTCGCGCCCGGGCACCCGCATGATTCCATCCCATCTCATCATAAGAGCAAGTCATTCCTCTAAGCTTAGCGACTACATTACTCCCTCATCTTGAACTGTTGAGCTATAGGCGAAAGCATAATTACGGGAGAAACGATTAATTCCAGTACAAGCTAAGCTACGAACCACCCGTCCCCATTCATCACGCAAGACATTGTCAAACGTGTCTCTGACTTGAGACATATTAATTCCCCTACACCTCCCTGTCCACCTCCATCCTTCCTCCCAATATCATCTAGGCCATCTAAAACCATCACCTTCTAACCCCGACCTTATGTCTCACTTGCCTTCCATGTCTAGCTAGATCCTGTCCCGTTCACTTCCCCATCGCCTGCTCAATTCCCGTGCCTTGGTTTACGACGCTGTCCTCACCCTTTGGTCCACCAGGCGCAGGACTATTAGGATCCGACACCTTGAACGTGCCGTTGTCGGATTTGTACAGCGTGGGTGTGTCGGCAGGTTTCTTGCCTTTGTGCTTGACGAACGCGCGTTTGTTCTTAGAGGTGTGGGCAATTTCGAGCCAGGTCATCATGGGAGATTGTGTGTTAGTTGTTGTTAGTGAAGCAGTCCTGTTTGATGTGGAGCGCAATGGGTGGGTGCCTTTGGGGTAGGCCGACCAGGAGTAGGTGAAGGGTTAATATACCTCCAAAAGTATCTACTTTAGACATTGAGATGGAACAGATAGCCAAAAGAGACAAAAGGGAGAGGACAACGGAAGAAAGAAATGTCTAGAACAATGTGCACAATGTCTGACTTCGTGTTAGCAGGCTGCCAAGGTGCGTTTGGCAAGTGTATTGAGTATTTCTGCGAGACATGGCCGCAGCTCTTTCAGTCACTACCAACGAGCCTCAATAGAGCAACCATTGACATGATTTTCTCATGCACTGCAATGCGAAAGGCACTTTTGATTACATGCGGTTGTGCGAATGTCGAAACGCGCGGCTGTTGTCGGTCGTCAGATATCGGAAACCCGGAAACTCGTGGTGGTACTGGCACGGCACAAGGATAACAAAGCGGCAGATTACGGCCGCAGGTCGATCGAAGCCCTGTAGGGCTATATCCGCGCTTCAAATCCATGCTGGAGAGATCTGTCATGCTGGTACGTGTCCCTCGCTGCACGGCATGCGTCGGTTGCGCACGTCGCAGGAATCCGTCGAGCATTGACGGCATGGAAGCGGTAAACACGCCATGCTGCCGTCCAAAACCCAGGAGCGGGGAACTTCCACACCGATAGATCGCCATACAAACACCGTGAAGTTTTGTGTGTAAGAGCGGTCGGCGCCCCCGTGGAAGGGTCGCGTACGTGACTTGGCTGCTGTAGCGTCGCACCCCGCATCACAGTCGACCGGGGACATCTGCACGCGCGTACAGCCAATGGTTTCGCGCAAGAGTCGGTGAGGCCGAACAACAGTCTCCGCGCGCGAAAGCAGTGATGGATTTGAGGTTGTCCGGGAGGACGTCCGTCTCCCGCTCCAGGCGTCAGCTAGCGCCAGAGTCGTCGCAGTGGGTCGGCAGCGTCAAATGAGAAGCGGAGCTCGCGCAGAGCCGCACTACACTGTGTTTGCTGGGAACTGTTGGCGTCCATGGCGGTGGATATAAAGAATCGGCGTCTTCTCAAACGGGACGCTTGAAGGATGCGTTGAAACGTAACGAAACGAAACCAAACGACATCTCGGGCGCTAATCTCACCCTAAGCAATAACATCCACCAGACGTCGCAGGTCTTCGCGCGAAGACATCGCGACACCCACCAGTGAGTCCCTTTGCCCTGATTCGCCTGCCATAGCTGCGCGCAATACGGCTGTCCTTGCGAGAGGTACATGAGTACGAGGCTGATGCATGCGCCACACCAGTGCCGCCGTCCTCGCTGAGGCACCCAGAGAGCCCCACCAGCGTGTTGTCGCTGGCGGGCATCCTCGAGGACTCCATCACACAAACCCCGCTCGGCGAATGGCTTCGGTCGTCCAACGAGGACATCCACGCGCGCCTGGTGCACTTTTCTTCTTTCTCTGACGGCCCGGGGCCTTCCTCTGCTCCCAGCCCTCCCTACTCGCGCTCGCGGTCTGTTCGCAGCGCCAGCTCCTCGATGGCGCCCACTTGCGTCCACCAGTCCAACGCTTCCACGCACCCACCGTCCCTCTACAACTTCTCCGAGGCTACGCCGACCGAGACGTCGATCAGCACAGGGTTGGCCAGTCGTTTCACAGGGGTGCCGCTGCTCGAGGAAGTGAACGGCGTGCTCGAGCGGCCGTTGAACCCATGTCGGACTCCGGTGTACGAGTGCGCGTTCTGGTTCTTGACTTGCACGTATATCTCGGACGATATGGAGGAATGGAAAACACACTGCCTAAGCCACTTTAAGCTCAAGCAACCACCTACATCGGTTCAATGTCCGCTCTGCGAATTCCAATACACAGATGATGATGCTTGGAGGGCGTGGGGCGCGAGAATGGACCACATTGCTTTCGAGCATGCCATGCAAGGCGAGACCCTTCGGACGAGCCGTCCCGACTTCGGCCTGTTCCAGCACCTCTGGCAGCAAAAGCTCATCAGCGACCAAGACTTGAAGGAATTGAAAGGAGGGAACCACAACTTGACGAGACAACCGGAAAACTATACCGTCACCCACGTTCGTGAGAGAGACAGACGGCGGCAGAGGCCGCAACATGTCGGCACCATGAGACGATATGCGGGGCGTGCGTAACCATTCACCCGTGAGGCTACTGCAACATTGCGGGTGGTACAGTCTGTGTCTCCTACCATGCCACGACACTCGCTGACCGACGAGGTGCCTTCGGGTGTCGACCTCGCATCTCCATGCCGGCTGGCTTCCTGCATGTTCGGCTTTCCAGCTTCCTGAAATGGTCCGCTCGGTTGACTTTTCTTCCTTTATCTGCAACAGTAGCCGTTCCTGATATTTGGTTTGCTTTCAATCATTTCTCGGTTTTCTTGCGTTGTATCAGTCCGGTACGAGAGTACGAAGGCATCTCTGGCGTCCTGGACGAAAATTGATAGCGTTTTCTGGTGTTTCCTAGCGTTCCCGCGCGCATTGGATTCTAGTTGCTGTATTAAATTGAACATTTGGACTTGGTTTGGACGGCATCTGGATGAACCCATGGGACGTAATCACACCTCTGGAATGGCATTTCGCAGTGTGAAAGAATGTACAGATGCAGTAGCGTAGTAATTGGCGTAGAGGCCGTTCACGTCTTATACCCAGCCCTCAGCATTCCCTCCCAGCCCCTGCTTTGCCTCTTCTGTGGCCATAGCAACACGCGCCGCGATTCGTCACTTCCAGGCCAATCTCTTTTAGCAGCCTTGCCGTCTGACCGTCGCGTCGCGAAAATTCCCTCAGCCCTGCGTTGCCGTTATGTCTGCCTTGGGCCCGCTCCCGGTTTGGGTTAGCGGTTACTTGACTAGGAAGGACTACGCGCGTGGTTCGCATCCAGTCCGAGCTGTGAACGCCTGCGCGACGGGCTACTGTTTGCATTTGTGATAGTGTGAGCCGGAGGGGGCCGATGGAGATGAGGTAATTTCAGCTTCAAAAAGAAATGCGAATGTGAGCTCCGCTCGTGAGGTGTGCGTCCGTTTGCCCCATCAGTTGACCTGGATGAATTCTTGCTTGTGAGAAGATAAGATGCCCGCCGCTCACATTGCGTCAAAGCCTGTACTTGCGGGTGAAAGGCAACTGTCACTTCAAGCAAAGCGGATACCTTGTCGTCGTGCCAGTGTAGAAGACTAGTCAGCATAACTGCTCATCCCTCTCCAAGACTTACGGTCTAGGGATACCGGTCTGTACACGGTCCTGTTGTATGTATTATGTATCTTTAAGCGACTGGACTTAGATGCTATTGGGGACACGTGGTAGAGGGCTATGTGAACTTCGCCTTTGGGGACGGCAGTAGTGGTCTTTCCAGTCATTGCTGAAGAGAGCTATCGTGGAGCATGAGGAGGTACAATAAGGGAAGAAGTAGCATAAGAAAGAAAGCACCCCGCCTAAGGCTTACTCGGGGGCGCTCGAGTCATTTGTATTACACATGCCATACGCTACCGGCGACCGATTTCGAGCCCTAAAATTGTTGAGTTGTTGCCCAGCTGGATATGGCAAGTACGATAAGACAGTACGAGGAACCTGATTACATCTCAAATGACCAACAAAAGACCAGCCTTGTTTGTCTACTGTAACTTGACGTGAAATCCATTTACGTAGGCGACCTTTTTTCAGTAGCATATTGAAGCTTAGCACGAGCCGAGGCCGTCGCACCAAAAAGACCCGCGTGTGTTACATGTGGGGGTATATGCTGGCAATCTACATACGTGGTTTTTATTCTGGAATGAATCGATGCACAATGTAGTACCAGATCATTGGCTTGATACGGCACTGTAGACTCTAGCCCCACGTCTTCCCACAAATTTCACACCACCTGACT